CCCTGCCTTGACTTGCCTCTACCTTTACCTTTACTTTTCTTTTCTAGTTCTGCAGAGTGAGGCCTGCATGATTTGACATTTGGAAATGCTGCATATGTCAAGATATTTTTATATTCAATTGTCTTGTAAAATCAGGTGCTTTTACATGTGCCTTGATTGGCAGCAGCATGGGCCCTTTGAGGCAGTATGAAGGTCATCTCCTCAGTGCCCTGCAGCACTCACGTACACACATTATTTTATGACAGTTTTGGCAACGCACTGGTTATGTTTACACTTGCTAACAAGGCAGCAAAGGTGACCCAAAGTCTCCCAAAAACATCTCTCTTACTGTGCCCCTGCAGCTCACCCCTCCCCAGGGCTGTAGGCAGAGCAGGTCACGCTGGCCATGACCCCATTTTATCCCCACTGCCACTGCCACAGGTAGTCACTGCTACTGGCACGAGCTTACAGGTTCGGTCAAACCTTTGGGGTTCACCACATCATCAGAGGAAAGTTTTTACACGGCTTATCTAGGTTTTTATCTCTTTAGATAACTCCCTGGAAGGCGTTATGAGTAACTTGCATCTTTTTTTGAAGACTCATTCAAAGAGCCTAAATTTAAAGCCAAACATTAAATATTCATTGTAATAGTCCAAGGCAGATATACAACGCTCTAGAGGAACTTGCTGTGCATCAGCAGTCAGCATTACTTGTGCCCTGCAGAATGCAGAAATGGCATCAGTGTACACCTTTGTTTTCATTTCTAACAGAAACTGAATTGAAGGGATGCACAGCAACCCCAAGCTAAGAAATGGGCCTTCAGCCATCAGGTGGTGCTGTGAACCCAAACAAATATGTCACTAACCCAGATGTAAAATCCAGGATTCCCTCTGCAAATGAAAAGGTTACATTCTCTGCAAGTCAATGGCGTGTTAATTGCAGCGTAACACCCTAAAATTATAGCCTCTCCATTTCAGGGATTGCACACAAGATAAACCTGTTTCCTTGATAAAGGCCTACATGAAATGCTTTTACATTTGAGTGACCTTGCTATTGAGTAATACTCTTCTTCATTCTGAGCACGATACAAAAATGCTAGCACCTGGATTACTTAATTGCTTACCTGACAAGTCTACTCACTCCCTTGGGAACTGCAGAAGTGGAGAAAAGTATGTGGTCACATAATTAAAGGCTGTCATCTAGAGTCACAGTGGTCTGCATGAAGGCTTCATGGTTACTTCAATTCTCATATATTCTAATTTTGAGTGGTTGACTCAAGTAGGGGATTTTTGTATGCAAGTTAATTAGATCAGAAAAGAGTGCAAAATGTGGATTCCTTCAGAGAGGAATGGCAGCCCAATAGAATGCATATACAGGAAGCAAAAAAGAGTTACAATAGTATCCTTTTGGAAGGTTTGAGGTGTCTAAAGGTGCAATATAAAACACTGGCATTGATTATCAGTTAAAATTTTTCACAAATTATGGCTTAAAATGATCATATGCCAAAATTCTGAAGAAAAAGCCCAAAGCAGATTGTCAGCCTATGGCAGAATCTCCCCTAAGGCTTTTTAAGCTCTTCTTACATCAAATGATACAGAACCATAGAACAGTTTAGGTTGGAAAAGACCTCTAAGACCAGCAAGTCCAACCGTTAACCCATCACTGCCAAGCCCATCACTAAACCATGTCCCTGAGTGCCACATCTACACATCTTGTAAACACCTCCAGGGATGGTGACTCAGCCACTTCCCTGGGTAGGCTGTTCCAGTGCTCATCCACTAAGCAGGTCACCTTGTCATAGCAGGAGATCAGGTTGGTCGAGCAGGACCTGCCTTTCATAAACCCATGCTGGCTGGGCCTGATGCCCTGCTTGTCCTGTACGTGCCACATGATGGCACTCAAGATGATCTGCAGAGCTCATGATGTCTCCAAAACACCTGCATTACCTCCTTCTCCTTAGGAGCTGTGAACTAAGTACTCCCTTTCAAATTCTATTTCTGAGCTTGACCCTTCATTGTATTTAGAGTATTTTTGTTACTGACTCACACAGGGCAGCCCTAGAGTGAGCTGTGGCTCTTACCTGGGCTGCAGAGGGGCAGGGATGAAAGAGGCAGAGAGCAAAATAGTCCATCTGTGCTAACACTCCCATGTATCTCACAAGCCATATAGAAGATTTACAAAGCCCAGCAACAGAAATCTTCCCTCCAAGCTAACAGAGTTCTCAGTGAGGATCATAATGGGGAGAAATGCCACCCCACCCAGAGGAGATCCCCTGCTCTGATGTGCAAAGTCAAGTCCAGCTAGGTAACTCACACTGGCAGTTGGCACAAGGAGGACATTTCATATCACCCATCTCTCAGCACCTGAACTGGTCAGTGGAGTAGGTTGCCTAGCTACCTTTGGCTCAAAAGGGACAAAGGGGAACGAGTGAGACTCTCTGACAAGGCTGTTCCTAAATTGCCAAAAGCAGATGCCCTAGCAGAGTGCTAGTGTTAGCTTTGGTTCCTGCTCCATTTTGTACCAGCCTCTCTCCTTGCATCAAACATTGGTTTCAACATCCATTCCCTACATGACTTTAGCAAATGATGATCACATCATTTAGCATGTGACAGGTGTCCCAGGAGAAGGGATGTCAGGGGAACACATCTGCATATCACTCATCTGTGCTCAACTGAAACACACCCACACCCCCATCAAATTCCAAGGAGTCTCCCCTGAGTAGGCCTGTAACCCTTTTTTCTCTATGTGTTTATTGTAAAATGACAACAGTCTTTGGTGACAATTTGAAATAGGAAACTCTTAGAAGAAAAACCTGTTAAACACAGCTGGGTTCCAAAGACCCTCCCCCTAGAAAGGTTTGGGAAAACAAAAGCTAATGAAGGACACACATTGCTTTGACTTCACAAAAACAAAGCTGAACATGCATCCCACATATGCTTTGAAACCTTCCATTTGCCTTCTTCAGGCCTTTTGGCTCAGCAGGCTGGAAAAGCACTTTGTGGTCCTTTGAGATGACTCCTGCAATACAGCTGTGCAAATGGGAATCACTACAGCTCCTTGCAGGCCACTTCCCAGGTTGGCAGGGCACTGTGCAGAAACCTGGAGGCTGCAAGGCTGAACAGGAACAGGCATGTGCCTGCACC